TCTTTCTAGCCTAACTTCTCCCTAAGCATTCACTGCTGATGTAGGAAGAGGAAGTGTGCCTCCCTTCCCTGGTCCAGTGTTGGCTCAGCCTGATGATATCTGATTCTCAGAGCCCCATGGGGCTGGGTCTCAGTCATGGCAAACAATTAGAGAAGCGGCAAAGAATAAGTAATTCAGCTAGCAAGAGCCAGTCGGAATTTGAACATAAGTCTATATGACCCCAAAGCCCATGTTCTTTCCACTTTCTCACATTGGACTAGTCATCAAGTCAGGTAATGTAGGAAAAGTTAGTTTGTGGGGGGGTTGACAATTCAATTTTAGACATATTGAATTTGAGGTGCCTTTGTGAATCCAAGTGGAGTCATCTAATAAACTGTTGGGTATATTGGCCCTTGTATAAGTTATCTAAACAATCTGAGCCTCAGTTTTCTCATCTGTAAAATGACGATATTACCTATCTTACAGTGTTAACACAGGCAAGGAATTTTACATAGTACTCTGCTCATACTGGGTACACAAGAAGAATAAATTAAGGGAGCAATTAATACCTATAATATTATACATAGTCTTTACCACAACATTTGTTTGATTATATATTTTCTTTTAACACCTAGGAATTCAATTTATTTATTCAGTCTTCATAATTAATCTGGAAGTGTCTCTGTAATAGGGACTCTCTTTTGTCTCTCCTTCTGGTGCTAATCATGAGTGGACACTTGATAACTTATTACTGGAGTAAATTGTCAACTGTGAAAATGGATTGGCACCCAAGTATGGAGGGCCCTTGTCCTCCTCCTGTAGTCTCTCTCCCAGTTGGCAGTACCACCGTCCACTCAGTCACCCATGCCAGAAACCTGGAGTTATCTTTAATTCCTTGTCTTCTTTCTTAATCCAGGCATTATAATAGTCACCAAATTCCAATAATTTCACTTTCCACGCATTTCTCAAAACCCTCTCCTCTCCTACATCCTTCCACTATCCTAGCTCCAGCTTAATCTTCTCTTGCCTACATTGTGGCTATAGCTTTCTAACTGGTCTCTTTGCCTTCAGTCCTGCCCCCTCAAATCCAACAGCCAGCAGACTAAACTATCTAGAATATAGATATGACAATGTCATTTCACAGCTTTCTCTTTCAAAGTTTCCTGATGGACTCAGTGTCTAGCCTGACACATGAGGTCTCCTGTGATCTGCCTACATCTCAGCCTTATATCGCACCTCTCCAACCTTATTTCTTCCCACTCCCAGCCTGAAATGTTATGCTCCAGCAAGAGAGGCCCATCTGTGGTTCTACCATATCTACCTTTTTGTATCTGGCTTATTGACCATCTCAGGCTGCACCCTCTGCCTGAACTGCCTTTTATATTCCCCCCCGCCCCGGCTAACTCATCATTACCCTTTAAAAGTCAACTCAGTTGCCACACCTCCAGAAAGCCTCTCGTGCCTCTTCCTCAATACCCCTATTGAGCGCCCTACTTTTTCAGTGCCGTAATGCTCTATGCATGGCACCATCACTGATCTGACTCTATTTCTTTATATATGTGTAAAGGTCTGTTTCCCCCATTAGCGGGAATGAGAGTAGGAGAGCATCTTACTCATCTTTTAACTCTAGTGTCTTAAGACATAGGTGGATTCTTGGTCAATATTTGTTGATTGAATAAACTAGTATGAATTGTCAGAGTCACAAAGACACCAACAGATACATACACATAAATATTCTTACCATCTCCCAAGGAACAGATCCAAGCATCTGTGCTCTCTGGAACTCAGTTTATTTCAAAGTGCAAAGTTATGCATAGTTAGATGCTATACCACTTGAGATTAGGGTTCTACCAATTCATTCTGGTAAACTAAACAAGGATCTTTTTAACTCAGTCTCTCTCTCTCTCTCTCTCTCTCCCTCTCTCTCTTTCTCTCTCTCCTCCTCTGTGTGTGGTTGTGTGTGTGTGTGTGTGGTGTGTTTATGACTCTAGCCTGCACTTGGGGTTTTAACTCATCTTTAGAGAACATTAATTATAATTTAATGCAAGTGAAGAAGCAGAAGACATAATAGCAAAACAAAGAAAAATAGGCCAGGTGCAGTGGCTCACGCCTATAATCCCAGCACTTTGGGAGGCCGAGGCAGGTGGATTACGAGGTCAGGAGCCTGAGACCAGCCTGGCCAACATGGTGAAACCCTGTCTCTACTAAAAATACAAAAATTAGCCGGGCATGGTCACTCTGTCACCCAGGCTGGAGTGCAGCAGTTCGATCTTGGCTCACTGCAACCTCTGCCTCCCGGGTTCAAGCAATTCTCCTGCCTCAGCCTCCCAAGTAGCTGGGACTACTGGCGTGCACCACCATCCCCAGTTAATTTTTGTATTTTTAGTAAAAACAGGGTTTCACCATGTTGGCCAGACCTCTTGACTACGTGATCTGCCCGCCTTGGCCTCCCAAAGTGCTGGGATTACAGGCATGAGCCACCCTGCCCGGCCCAAAAAAATTACTTTAAAAAAAATAGCACTCTTTATTATTATTATTATTATTATTATTAGAGATAGGGTCTTGCTATGTTGCCCAAGGTTGGATTCAAACTCCTGGGCTCAAACCATCCTCTACCTATCTCCAGAGTAGGGGGGATGTACAGGGCATGTCACTGTGCCCTGTGGTCATTCTGATTTGATTCTCAGCCCTCCCTAGTTAGGAAGTGAGAGGGTTCTTTGCATAAGTTCTTAATTAGATCCTAGTCTCTCTCTCTGTTTTTTTAGACAGAGTCTCACTTGTTCTGTGCCCAGGCTGGAGTGCAGTGGCATGATCTCAGTTCACTGCAACCTCCGCCTCCTGAGTTCAAGTGATCCTCCCACCTCAGCCTCCCAAGTAGCTGGGATTACAAGAATGTGCTACCATGCCCAGCTAATTTTTGTATTTATAGTAAAGACAGGGTTTCACCTTGTTATCGCAGGCTAGTCTCGAACTACGGACCTCAAGTGACCCACCTGCCTCGGCCTCCCAAAGTTCTGGGATTATAGGCTTGAGCCACCATGCTGGGCCTCTAGTCTCTTAAAAACTTTTTTTGGGGGAGCCTTATTACACCTCTTCTTTTTTTTTTTTTTTTTTTTTTGAGATGGAGTCTCGCTCTGTCACCCAGGCTGGAGTGCAGTGGCCGGATCTCAGCTCACTGCAAGCTCCACCTCCCGGGTTTACACCATTCTCCTGCCTCAGCCTCCCCAGTAGCTGGGACTACAGGCGCCCACCACCACGCCCGGCTAGTGTTTGTATTTTTAGTAGAGACGGGGTTTCACCGTGTTAGCCAGAATGGTGTCGATCTCCTGACTCATGATCCGGCCATCTTGGCCTCCCAAAGTGCTGGGATTACAGGCTTGAGCCACCGCGCCCGGCCCACACCTCTTCTTTTAGTACTGACATACTGTGTGTGAAAAGCTTGCTCTGTCTGTCTGTCTGTCTGTCTCTCTCTCTCTCTCTCTCTTCCCAGCTTGTTCAGGATCTCTGTACACAGGAGGTTGCAGATGTAGCCTTAAACTCATCAACAGGGAGAATCTTGATGAGTCTAATAAGAAGGCAGCTTCCAATGAGTCACAAGGTTCCCGCCACCAGAGTCCCTCCCCATGTGCCACCAACCAGCACTTTTGTCATGCTGGGAAAACCTCCCACCCAGACCTTTGCCCAGAGTCCAGGGTCTGTGCCCTAACCCCACAGTCACTGAGAGCCACTGAAGTCCACATAAAACAGACATCTCTTGTTTTCCAGGTACTAAGGGTCATAATCCCTAACTCCAATCACTGGTAACTCCTGAGATCAGAGGAAAACCAGCAACAGCGTGGGAGTTTGGGGAAAGGCATTCCATACCGGATTCTGTGGCCTGCAGATGATATACTGCCTAAGATAAGCAGGTAGGAAATCTGTTGGGAGCCAAAGACTAAATGCAATAAAGTACAGATAATGCTGGGGGCTAGGCATGGTGGCTCACGTGTGTAATCCCAGCACTTTGGGAGGCCAAGGTAGAAGGATCGCTTGAGCCCAGGAGTTCAAGACCAACCTGGGTTACATAACAGATCCCATCTCTACAAAAAAGAAAGAAAAGAGGCCAGGCGCAGAAGCTCACGCCTGTAATCCCAGCACTTTGGGAAGCCAAGGTGGGAGGATCACTTGAAGTCAGGAATTTGAAACCAGCCTGGCCAATATGGTGAAACCCCATCTCTACTAAAAATAAAAAATTAGCTGGGTGTGGTGGCGGGTGCCTGTAATCCCAGCTACTCAGGAGGCTGAGGCATGAGAATCGCTTGAACCTGGGAGGCGGAGGTTGTATTGAGCCAAGATTGCACCACTGCACTCCAGCCTGGGCGACAGAGCAAGATTCAGTTTCAGGAAAACAAAACAAAACAAAACAAAACAAAAAACAAAAGAAAGGAATAAGGGAGGGAGAGAGGGAGGAAGGAAAAGAAAAAATATCCTGGTGTGATGGTGTGTACCTATAGTCCCAGCTACTCAGGAGGTTGAGGCAGGATGATCCCTTGAGCCCAGGAGTGTGCGGTTACATTGAACTACGATGCACTCCAGCCTAGGTAACACTAGACAACAGAGTAAGACTCTATCTCAAAAAACAGACAAACAAATAAACAAAACAAACAAACCAAAAATCAACATGGGCAACATGGCAAAACCCCATCTCTACAAAAATTATAATAATAAATAAACAGAAATTAGCTGGAGATGGTGGTCCAGACCTGTAGTCCCTGCTACTCAGGAGGCTGAGGTGGGAGGATAGCTTGAGCCCAGGAGGCGGAGGTTACAGTGGGCAGAGGTCCAGCCTAGGTGACAGAGCGAGAACTTGTCTCAAAAAAAAAAAAAAGAAAAAGAAAAGAAACACACAAAAGATAATGCTGGGGGATCAAGTCAAGGACAGGTTTGGTTTGGTTTGGAAAGAGACTCTGTAGAAGGGACAGAAAAGGGTCAAGCGTGGCCCAGAACTGACTGCTGACCCCTCCCACATTCAGGAGTCTGTAACAGCCACCCCAACACCTGATGTCATGGCCAGTAGGGAAGATGAGCTGAGGAACTGTGTGGTATGTGGGGACCAGGCCACAGGCTACCACTTCAACGCGCTGACTTGTGAGGGCTGCAAGGGTTTCTTCAGGTGAGAGTCTCCTCCCCAGTGGAAACAGCCGTCCAAACCAAACTCCCTATCAGTCAGCCTTTACACCCTCGCTGGTGCCTAAGCCTGTCCAGCTACATTACTCCTTTATCTGAGAGTCTAATTACCCTGTGGATGGCAACCTACATCTTGTCAAACACATCACTGTATAAACTGGCGGCATAACAGAGGGAAGGCTAAATGTTTGTCTGATGGACACAGCCCATTAGTCAAGAGCACTTATTATGTACCCACTGCCTGTGAAGCACCTAGCTAGTACGACATCAACTAGGCTTTCCGGAGTGATCCTGTGTTGCCATGGAAATGCTTGAGATGTGTTGGACCCTATCCACCCCTGGGGACCTTTGGGCACAGCTCAGATTAGTCCATTTCACCAGATTCCCAGGTCTTTTAGACCATGTCATCTCAGCCCCTCACCCATCCATGTGTCTGTTCACTGCATCCCAGACTCTAACAACATCTCTGTATCTCACAGGAGAACAGTCAGCAAAAGCATTGGTCCCACCTGCCCCTTTGCTGGAAGCTGTGAAGTCAGCAAGATTCAGAGGCGCCACTGCCCAGCCTGCAGGTTGCAGAAGTGCTTAGATGCTGGCATGAGGAAAGACAGTGAGTTGGCCCCCTACATCCGAAGAATGCATTGACTGTGTCTGTTTGCTTTGTCCTTGTTCCCAACAGTGCATTCTCTACATAGCAGGCACCGTACTCTTTTTGAAACTAGTCGGATTATGTCAGTATTCACTCAAGACCTCCAATGGCTCCCCATCTCAAAGTACATGATCTCATGATCTAGCTCTCCCACAACACCTTTCAGACTTTATTATCAGACTCTTCCCCCTTACTCAATCAATTCTAGCTACACTGTCATCCTTAGAAACACCAAGCACACTCTTCTCCAAGGCTTTTCCACTTGCCATTCCCTCTACCTGAAATGCTTTTGTCCTAGATATCCACATGGCTAGCTTTTTTCTTTTCTTTTCTTCTTTTTTTTTTTTTAGATGGAGTCTCACACTCTATAGCCTAGGCTGGAGTGCAGTGGTGCCATCTTGCCTCACTGCAACCTCCACCTCCTGCGTTCAAGCGATTCTCCTGCCTCAGCCTCCTGCATAGCTGGGATTACAGGCATGTGCCACCACGCCCAGCTAATTTTTTGTATTTTTAGTAGAAATGAGCTTTCACCATGTTGGCCACGCTGGTCTCGAACTCCTAGCCTTAGGTGATCTGCCCACCTCTGCCTCCCAAAGTGCTCGGATTACAGGTGTGTTTTTTATTTTCTATCTCTTGAGCATAGTGCCTGTCACCTAGTAGGTGCTCAATAATTGAATTAGTTAATGTTTTCTCTGTACCAAGTAACTGTGCTATGCTCCCAAAGGATGATATAACTGGGGCTCACAGAAGTTAATTTGCCCAAGTTAATTCAACTAAAAACTTGTGCAGGCCAAGCGTGGTGGCTCATGCCTCTAATCCCAGCACTTTTGGAAGGCTGAGCCAAGAGGATTGTTTGAGGCCAGGAATTCGAGACCAGCCTGGTCAACAGAGATGCCCTCTCTAGAAAAAGAAGAAGAAGGAAGAAGTTGTACAGTCAGTATTCAAACTCAAATTCACCTGACTCCCAAAAACTTGCTTTTTCCATATCGCACAATTCTCACTGTGGAAGAATGAAAGGAAACTGTAGAAGTCAAAGGATCTTGGTCTGAATTCCAGATCTTGGTTCGATCTTGGATCTTTTGTAGAAGTCAAAAGATTTTGGTTTGAATTCAATCTACATTACTTATTTTGTGACCTTGGTCCTGCCACTGGAATCTAAGCCTGTCTACATTTCTAAAAAATATGACTGGGCTGGGTGCGGTGGCTCACGCCTGTAATCCCAGCACTTTGGGAGGCTGAGGCAGGCAGATTACCTGAGGTCAGGAGTTCGAGACCAGCCTTACCAATATGATGAAAATTTTGTAAAAGTACAAAATTAGCTGGGCGTGATAGCATGCATCTGTAATCCCAGTTACTTGGGAGGCTGAGACAGGAGAATCGCTTGAACTCAGGAGGCGGAGGTTGCAGTGGGCCAAGGTCACGCCATTGCACTCCAGCCTGGGCAACAAGAGTGAAACCCTTTCTCAAAAAAAAAAAAAAAATATATATATATAGATAGATAGATAGATAGATAGATAGATAGATAGATAGATAGATATGAATGATTAGTTAGGCTGGGCATGGTGACTCATGCCTATAATCCCAGCACTTTGGGAGGCCGAGGTGAGTGGATCGCTTGAGGTCAGGAGTTCGAGACCAGCCTGGCCAACAAGATGAAACCCCGTCTCTACTAAAAATACAAAAAAAAAAAAAAGAAAGAAAACAAGAATTAGCCAGGTGTGGTGGTGGGTGCCTGTAATCCCAGCTACTCCAGAGGCTGAGGCAGGGAGAATTGCTTGAACCCAGGGGGTGGAGGTTGCAATGAGCCAAGACTGCTCCATTGCACTCCAGCCTGGGCGACTGAGTGAGAGACTCCATCTCAAAACAAAATAAAACAGACAAATACATATATATATAATTTTATATATATATATGATTAATACCAGCCCTGCCTATCCTGGGGTTGTTTCATTCAGTGGGATTTAACCTCAGAAGTTTTGAAATTTTGCTAAAACACCAGGTAAGTGTTTATTTGAAAGGATTATTTGATTATTTTTGAAGGATCATTTAAAATATCACATAAGGTGATGCTCTAGATATCAAGACCCTTCCCTCTACACTGTTTCCCCAAAAGCCCTCGCACCTTTCCTCACATCTCTCCTACTTTCCTCGCCACCCTTCCCTTCTCTCCCATGGTGCAGTTTTCTGCCGTAGTTCTTCATAGGTTGGTGGAAGTGTATAGGAACCCCCTGCCTCCTGGAGCCTCTAGGACTTTAGCCAAGCCCAAGAAAACCTCAGGAATTCCCCCATTCCCCCCATCCTTCGTTGTGCAGGGTGGCTGAGGGGCCCCAGATCAGGGACCAGCAGAGAGAAGTGCTCTGCTGGTCTCAACAGCTTTGTCATGATCTCTTGCCCTGCACAGTGATACTGTCGGCAGAAGCCCTGGCATTGCGGCGAGCAAAGCAGGCCCAGCGGCGGGCACAGCAAACACCTATGCAACTGAGTAATGAGCAAGAAGAGTTGATCCAGACACTCCTGGGGGCCCACACCCGCCACATGGGCACCATGTTTGAACAGTTTGTGCAGTTTAGGGTGAGCACCGACAGGATTTGGGTTGGAATACAACGAAAAGGGCACCCAAAAAGGCTGGTCTGAGAGAAAGGGGTATATGCCATGCACCAATACTGAGGATGGATCTCCAGAACCCCGGCCTTAAGCAGGCTTCTCAGCTAGGAACTCTTCCAAGATAAGGCTGGCGAGGCCTGAAGGAGGGCCCTAGGGCCAGGGCCTCTAGCTAATGTTCTGATCGTTGCAGCCTCCAGCTCATCTGTTCATCCATCACCAGCCCTTGCCCACCCTGGCGCCTGTGCTGCCTCTGGTCACACACTTCGCAGACGTCAACACGTTCATGGTACAGCAAGTCATCAAGTTTACCAAGGACCTGCCTGTCTTCCGGTGAGTGACCTCCCCTCATCTTTCAGGAGGCAAACACTTCAGCAAGTTGTATATCCACCCCGAAAAGTCACTGACAACAAATTAACACCTGCCTCAGCCTTTCCAAGCATTAGGTCTTGAATTCCCAGCTTTGTTTTTAACTGTGCCAACCAGAATTGGGAGTTCTTCTCCATCTCTGAAGTACAGGCTTGCATCTAAAGTGCCCTTGAGGTGCCGCGCAGTGGTTCACACCAGTAATCCCAGCACTTTGGGAGGTGGAGGCCGGCAGATCGCTTGAGTCCAGAAGTTTGAGACCAGCCTCAGCAACATGACAAAACCCCATCTCCACAAAAAATACAAAAATTAGCTGGGCATGATGGTGGGTGCCTGTAGTCCCAGCTACTTGGGAGGCTGAAGTGGAAGGATCACTTGAGTCCAGGAGGTTGAGGCTGCAGTGAGCCGAGATAGCACCGCTGTACTCCAGCCTGGGTGACAGAGTGAGACTCTGTCTCAAAAAATGAAAGCTAAAAATAATAATAATAGGCCAGGCACAGTGGCTCATGCCTGTAATCCCAGCACTTCGAGAGGCCAAGGCGGGTGGATCACTTGAGCTCAGGAATTTGAGATCAGCCTGGCCAACATGGTAAAATCCGTCTCTACTAAAAATACAAAACTCAGCTGGGTGTGGTGGTGTGCATCTATAATCCCAGCCTCTCAGGAGGCTGAGGCAGAAAAATCACTTGAACCTAGGAGGAGGTTTGCTGTAGCTGAGATCAGGCCACTACACTCCAGCCTGGGTGACAGAGCAACACTCTGTCTCAAAAATTAATTAATTAATAAGAATAATAATAAAGTGCCCTTGTCGGCTGGGCACAGTGGTTCACACCTATAATCCCAGCACTTTGGAAGGCCAAGGCAGGAGGATTGCTTGAGCCCAGGAGTTCGAGACCAGCCTGGGCAACATAGTAAGACCCCATCTTTACAAAAAATAAAAATAAATAAACAAAAAATCAAAAAGTGGGCCAGGCGCGATGGCTTGCACCTGTAATCCCAGCACTTTGAGAGGCCAAGGCAGGTGGATCACCTGAGGTCAGTAGTTGGACACCAGCCTGGCCAACATGGTGAAAACCCATCTCTACTAAAAATACAAAAAATTAGCCAGACATGGAGGCACATGCCTGTAATCCCAGATACTTGGGAGACTGAGGCAGGAGAATTGCTTGAACCAGGGAGGCGGAGGTTGCAGTGAGCAGAGATCGTGCCATTGCACTCCAGCCAGGGTGACAGAGCAAGACTCTATCTAAAAAAAAAAAAAATTGAAAAGTGCCCTTGTTTCCTGCTTTCCACAGTTCTCTGCCCATTGAAGACCAGATCTCCCTTCTCAAGGGAGCAGCTGTGGAAATCTGTCATATCGTACTCAATACCACTTTCTGTCTCCAAACACAAAACTTCCTCTGCGGGCCTCTTCGCTACACAATTGAAGACGCAGCCCGTGGTGAGATGGTGCTAGAGCAGTAGGGGGCATGTGTCCTCATGGTACAGTATGTGGTCAGGTGACCCAGAGGCTCCTAATCCTAGTATCTCCCGCAGTGGGGTTCCAGGTAGAGTTTTTGGAGTTGCTCTTTCACTTCCATGGAACACTACGAAAACTGCAGCTCCAGGAGCCTGAGTATGTGCTCTTGGCTGCCATGGCCCTCTTCTCTCCTGGTGAGCATCTCCCAAAGCCCAGAGCCTTTTGCTGCACCACCTCTGCCCAAACATTCAGCTCCTTGAGTCCATCCACCCCAGGCCTTCTAGCCTCGCTGTCAAACCTGCAGACTAGGTTAGGCCTTCTAGCCTAGCTGTCAAACCTCCCAGCCTCGGTCCCTGGGGCACCATGCAGGCCCACCCCTGCCACCCACCTTGTCCTTCCCAGCTCCCTATCTTACAGACCGACCTGGAGTTACCCAGAGACATGAGATTGATCAGCTGCAAGAGGAGATGGCACTGACTCTGCAAAGCTACATCAAGGGCCAGCAGCAAAGGCCCCGGGATCGGTACGGTGGGACACTGAGGGCTTGGAGGCCACACCAGGGCAGGAAGGGGTTGGCGAACCATTGAGCGTGGGAGGAATGTTTTTTTACTGTCCTTTCCTTAGTGAATTCAGGTATCTTGGGGTCTAGTCCTTCCCCCTGGCCATCCCTGTCTCACATCGTTTCAGCCTCCAAATTACTGAATTTGGATACTGCTGTTTCATCTCACTTTTTCCAGATTTTTTCTTTTTATTCAGTACAGATGCAAAGTAGTAGCTCAGAGGCTCTGGGTAATAGCATTCCTGAGATTGATGACATCCATCACCTCACTAGTCCAACTTCTCCAGACTAACGCAGGCATTTCTCTTCCCTTGGCCTTTCCTCTCCTCGCCATTGGGCCAATTCCTTTGATTTTTCATTTCCCTTGAAGTTATGGCAATTCACAGTTTCATGGCCAAAGCCAGTTCCAGGTTCAATAGTCTGTGATTTATCCGGGCTCTGAGGTATGCACCACTTCTGTTTTGCTCATTCCTCCAAGAGCTAGTTTGGCCAGAAAGGGGATGCTTTATACCATAGAACACATCCACCTTCTAGAACCTGCTCTAGAAGGCCAGGCCCTCAGATTCCACACAGTTGGAGTTCTGGCCAAGTCTGGAACTTTCTTCACACGTGGCCCTCAGAGCTCTGGGTTCAGAAAAAACTGAGCACGGTGAGAGAAGACAGTGTCAGACTGAGGCCCCCTGGAGGACCTTTGGAACCTCTGATCATCTGTCATACCAGAGCATGATTTTCTCTAATGTTCAGACCTGGCTTCACTGAGGAATAGTTCAGGGGATCAGGGCTTCAAGACAAGACTCCCAACTGCCTTATTTCCCTCCTGTTTTCCTGGCAACCCCACTACTTCCTCCAAAGGTTTCTGTATGCGAAGTTGCTGGGCCTGCTGGCTGAGCTCCGGAGCATTAATGAGGCCTACGGGTACCAAATCCAGCACATCCAGGGCCTGTCTGCCATGATGCCACTGCTCCAGGAGATCTGCAGCTGAGACCAGGCTCACTTCCTTCCCCAGATCACCTGGCACACCCTGGATACACTGGAGCGGGGAAATGCTGGGACCAAAGATTGGGCCGGGTTCAAAGGGAGCCCAGTGGTTGCAATGAAAGACTAAAGCAATAACTGCCTCTTCATGCGGTCATGGGGATAGTGGGGTTGGCCATAGGAACAAAGTTGTTCTCTGGAAGCACAGAAGATGGGAAGGAGGAAGCCTCAGGGCTAAGAGGTAAAGAAGCTCCTTCTGGGAATGGGTGGGCCCTACTTTCTGAGACCAAATATCTAGCCCTTCAGCCCTACTTTCCCAGCCTTGGGAGACTCTGGGATGGAAAACAGGATGGTCAGCTAATCCCATGCAGGATTAACCAAAGGGAAAGGAAGAAGGAAGCCTGGAGGCAAGGAGTGCCAGGGGGAATTCAGCCATACCCCTTAATCCTTTCCCCTTAGTCCAGAGCCACAGGAGCATCGGGAAGGTGATACTGGGGCTGGTAGCAGAGGGGCGATCCTCAAACCTCTGCCTCATCAACTGCCCCTGTGGCAGCTCCAGTTCTGAGGAGGGCATGGTCCTATCCGCCACTCTGCTCCTGGGTCCTAGAGGTCACCCAGCAAGGTGGGCTCTGGAGAGGGGCCTAGTCTCTGGCCCTAGGGCACCTGACTCAGAGGTTCCAGCTGCTGTGGGGGCTGGCTCTGGACAACCTCAGCCCACAGTGATGCTGAAGCCACAATGGAATCTGTTGCGCCAGTGATTGAGGAAGGCTCCAAGGGCTAGGGTGACAGGCAGAGGGGGCATCTTCTTCTCCAGCACAGCACCTACACACCAGTTACTATCCACCAAGCCTGTTGGGGGAGAGAATACCCACTAGGTTATTTAACAGGGATTGGAGGAAATAGTCACCAGAAATAAGGTAAAGTTTCCCTCCCTCTGCATTCCCCATTCCTCAGCATAGCCAAATGTCTCCCAATAACCCTCACCTCTAAACACCATGTTGGCCTGGGGCAGAGTCAGGTGGTAACCAAAGGAGAATGTTGTGTCTTGTAGCCTTGTGTTTGCCTCAAACTCCACTCCAACCTGAACCTGAGAACCATGGGCAAGGATGAGAGAGAGATCAGTATCAGTGAAGACCAGAAGGGTCCTGACGGGGGATCAGCAGAATGAAGGCATACATGGAAATATATACACAGCGTGGTAGGAAGAAAAATAGGTCAGCAGGGCGATAGAGGTCCAGATGAACAAAAGTTCACGACTGACTTGCTGACGAGGAGGGGGAGTGAGATCAGAGGTCTCACCTGTTCATTTGCCCTGTGGTAGTAACTTGCATGGGCCCCGCCTGATCCCACATTCAATGTAGCTACCCAGTGTACAGCTGTAAAATCCAAAGTACAGAGGGGAAGGAGTGTTAACTGTAGTATGACACAGGCCAGGAACCCCAGAAAAGTTCAGAATTTCCCCCCCTACCCACCACTACTTCACTTCGCCCCATACCGGAGTACTTCCCAGCCAGTGTCAAGATGGCCCCCTCTTCGCCTGGCCGCCGGTGATAAACTAGCTCTCCTCCCAGCACCAGCCGATGAGTGAGGCTCTGCAGGAAGTGAGCAACCATGATCACTGTGGGGGAACGGGGAGACATGGAGTCAGTCATAGAGACAACACCCAGACCTGCTCCCTCACCCCCAATAACCGCCACCCCAGCATGCCCAAGAAGTTCCTTTTCTACACTCCAAACTGTACAGAAGATGAAGAGGCATAGTAACATTAGCAAATGGGCAGCCAAGATAAAAAGAACCCTGTCCCAGTTCCTCACCCGACTCCCCAATCAGGTCAGGATTTCCTAGGGTCAGAGTGGCTGTGTAGTCATCTCCCCGATACTCGCCATCAAACTGCCATGTCAAGAACTTGGCCTGCTGCGTCTGAATGGCAAGAGCAAGAAGTAAAATCTCCCTCCCTCTTTATGATCATTATTGACTCTGCTCCTCCTTCCAAGCCCTCAGAGCAGGAAACCCATGAAGGAGAGAGGAAGTGCCTCAGGGGACGGAGGCAGGAATTGTGGTCACCTGGAAGACAGCCTTAGCTCGGAGCCGCTCTGCCAAGAGGATCAAGACCTGGGCGTTCAGGCTGCCACTGCTGTCCATATCCCCTACCACAGTGGGGAACACCTGTGGAAGGGTATACACAGTAGTAAGGCTGAGCCGGATGGCATCACTCAGTCTAAACCCAAATATAGAACTTCATTAAGAGTGCACAGCGCCCCCTGGTGGAGTCACAAAGACACACTCTGGGCTCTTCACAGAAAATGTTTCTCTACCCTCTCCCATTCAGAAGAGACACAAAAGTCAGGTTACGGCCCATTCCTCCCCATAACACACACAATTCCTCTTCCTCCAGACCTGGGTCCCAGATTGGCTTTTAGGGAGATGACCCAGGTGTGTGGAGCCCTCACCTCAGTGGGACTGAGCTGCCAATCCCCTGCATAGGCCGCATGGAGGTGATATCCCGGCAAGCCCAGGGCACTCATGTGTATAGTGTGAGCCACCTGAGGAAAGAGGAGTCAGTGGAGAAAAGCGCATTCCTGCTCCACCTCAATCCCTTATCCCACCCTTAATCTTTTCCCCATTCAGAGGGCCTCTCACGAATCCCAAATATTCCAACATATACAGAGAGGGTCACTGGATTAAAAGCAACAAGTCCCACAGGCAGGGAGGTAAAGAGAACCCCACATCCTCCCTCGTTTGTCCCACATAGACTGGCTAGGGCTGGAGTACAAAGGAAAGGAGAAGATGATCCAGGGACAGGAAAGGGGGAATAGTAAGGAGGGGCCAGAGAAGTGGGAGCACCTGGAAATGGCTGCTCAGAACCTTGTTGACAACGAGCTTCACGCCCTCCATCTGTGCTGGGAATACATCTGAAGGGGGTAGGGGAAGGGAAGGAATAAGCACAGACAAAGAACCACTACCCCAAAAGGTAGTCTCCCCTTTCAATTCCACAGGGAACACTTTGGAGGAATTAACCTCCTTTCAAGTCCTGCAATGAAATGCTCCACTTCATTTGGGCACCTGATCCTCCCTGATGCTGCATGCCCCAGCTGTGATCTCCCCTTTCCTGCTCTCATCGCCGGACATCCAGCATTCAAGACCCTCCACTCCTCTGCCCCTTCATCTTGAGACACCCCAATGCCAAGTTCTCACCTTTGCATAGCCGGTGCAGCTCATCGAAGCTCCCAGGGTTGGGCAGGGGTTCCTCTCGGCGGGGGCTCCGGCGGGGCAAAGTCCCCATTGGTGCCAGGCCCAATGTGTTCCCCATTTTAGTCCAGAGGACGGGGAAGGGCCGGGGTTAGCCTGTGAAAGGACGCTATTGCCCCTTTACCCTCCAACGGGCCCCACCCCCCATTATCCGGCTCCCTAGTCTCAGAAACTTCCACATGGTCCGACGCTAGACCTGGAACAGGAAGAGTAGGGAAGGAGAGCACTCATGGAGAGACAACCCTAGGCACACTCCCGCCCCATCTTTGATCTCTCACCCCCACCTGTCACCCTTGTCCTCTCTCCCTTTCTCTGATCCTAGCCCCCACCACAGACCTCACCTAGCTCCCTAGTCTCTCTACTCTTGATTCCCAGGCCCCAAGACCAGGCCTGCAATGGTGCAGTATCCCTTACCATCTCAGACCATCATGCTGCCCCTTTCCCCCCGGCACACCCCGGTCATCTTGATGGGGGCAGCCATCTTGAGTGATGGCAGAACTGCAGCTTCACGCTGCATTCTTAGCGTGGCCATGAGCGCCATCTTTGAATCTGGCAAAGAAAGCTGTCAAAGACCCAACCCACCCCTGACTGGGCCCCGCCCAATCAATGAAATAATAAAAAAAAAAAGCCTCGCTATCTACCACGAGCCAATGGAAAGGGAGGAAGAAAATGAGTGGCAGGTGTGACGGCCCAAGAGCTTCAACCCTGGAGCTGCAGAGGCGGGCAGGCCTTGATTGGTGGCCCCTTAGACTTAAGTGGAAGGCTTTAGATCACTAGGCCTCTCCAAGGTCGGGAAAAAATTTGTGAGCGTGCAAGACACTAGAGGGAGCATCTTGTAGCTTGGGCCACTGAAGCTCCTTCCCCCCGTGTAGTTTCACCCTTGAGAAAAGTGAAACTACAGCTTGTAGACTGGCTTTGTGTGAAGGGTGGCAGAAAGAACCATTATGAAGACTTCTTTGGAAACCTGGTTCATTTCTATCGCTCCCCTCTTCCCAAAGAGCCCATGGGAAATCCTCCTCACAGCCCTCCACAGCACACCTCCAAATAAGTACTACTCATTAAACGCAGCACTGCCTAGAACAGGGACCCACCCTTCTCTTCTGGAGGTCTACATCTCTCGAAGTCCCCACTCTTGCCCACTTGGTGGAATGGAAACGGGTGTGAGAGTTTGGCGCAGAGCAGTAAGTTCTAGCAGAACTATTCGCTGAAAGAGCTGCTCTCTGTATTTAACCTTTCCTTCCCTGAGTCCCCAGGCAGAGTTGGCAAATAAAATCTAGGAATATGGAGCCTGGCCCCCAAATGCACTCCGTCCCAGGACCGGGGCAAGCCAAAGGGCTGACCTCAAGCACTAAGCGCTCCGCAGGAGAATAATTGAAGATGGAGTAAGATTTCTTGGTCTTGGAGGGTGAAGGGTGGGAGGAGGGAGAAGATCAGGAAAAATAACTAATGGATATTAGGCTTAATACCTGGGTGATGAAATAATCTGTACAACAAATCCGCATGACACAAATTTATGTATGTAACAAACCTGCACATATAGGCTGGGTGCGGTGGCTCACGCCTGTAATCCTAGCACTTTGGGAGGCCGAGGTGGGCAGATCACCTGAGGTCGGGAGTTCAAGACCAGCCTGAGCAACATGGAGAAACCCCGTCTCTACTGAAAGTACAAAATTACCCAGGCGTGGTGTTGTATGCCTGTAATCCCAGCTACTTGGGAGGCTGAGGCAGGAGAATCGCTTGAACCCAGGAGACAGAGGTCGCAGTGAGCCAAGATCACGTCATGGCACTCCAGCCTGAGCAACAAGAGCAAAACTCCGTCTCAGGAAAACAAACAAACAAAAAAACCTGCACATATACTTCTGAATTTAAAACAAAAGTTAAAAAACAAAGATTTCTTGGTCTTTGGTCACTACCTCCCTCATTAGCTCTGCGCCTCCACTCTCACCTCTCAGGAATGTTCCATATACTCAGGGAGTATGCTTGGGGGGGCAAAAGGGTGAAAGATACAAATGCTTCTGATATCTATTTAACTGATTTCACCCAAATGCTTTGAACCTGAGAATGTACCTATCCCCCTCCCCTACCCCCAACAGGAGTGAGACAAGGGCCAGGGCTATTGCCCCTGCTGACTCAGTATTGGCTGATCACTGCCTAGAACTGATAAGATGATCAAATGACCAGGCACCTTCAACCTTTACCCTGGCAGAAGCCTCTTGTTCACCCCTTTTCCTGCCAGAGCCCTCCATTGGGAGGGGATGGGCGGAAGCTGTTTTCTGAATTTGTTTTACTGGGGGTAGGGTATGTTCATTGATCAGCATCCAGGTCATTCTGGGCTCTCCTGTTTTCTCCCCATCTCATTACACATTAACTCAAAAATGGACAAAATCATTTACACTTGCCTCTTACCCGACCCTCATTTTCGTAACCCCCATAGCCCTCAACCCTGTCCCTGATTTCAATTCCTTTCTCCTTTCTTCTGCTCCCCAATATCTCTCTGCCAAATTGCAATAAAGTGGGATAAGGTTGAGAGATGAGATCTACCCACAATGGAATAAAGATACCATGAGCTTTCCACGGTATGATGGGTTGATGGTATCCCATGGGTTGATATATCGGAGCTTTCCAGAGAAGTAACTTGGAATCCTGCTTCCTGCTGCATTCAAGTCCAAGGACCTCAGATCTCAAAAGAATGAACCTCAAATATACCTGAAGTGTACCCTCTTAGCCTCCACTAAGGGCTGTACCCCCTGCCTCTCACCCCGTCACCATGAGTCTTCCATGTGCTTGTCCTCTCCTCCCCCATCTGTCCAACTTGTTTATCCTAACATAATCCCTGTCCCACTGGACCCATCATAGTTCCTGTCACCTGACAGGGGGTGGGTAAACAGACAGGTATATAGCCCCTACCTCTCCAGCCAGGGCAGGCACAGACGCCAAGGACAGAGACGCTGACTAGGTAAGATAAAGAGGCAAGAGGTGTGAGCAGCATCCAAAGAGGCTTGGGCTTCAGTTGTGGAGAGGGAGAGAGCCAGGTTGAAATGGGCAGCAGGTAGGGAGATCTCTGGGGAGGAGCTGAAGCCCATTTGGCTTCAGTGTCCCCCCCAACCCCCACCACCCTCTTCCTAGGCCGCTTTCCCCACTGTCACCAACATGAAGCTGCTCGCAGCAACTGTGCTGCTCCTCACCATCTGCAGCCTTGAAGGTGGGTGTGATATGGAGAGGGGGCCAAAAGGGAGAATGTGCTGGTGGTTATAGCTACCTATCTGCCTATGCTCTTATATCCAGGTCTGGCAACTAGAGGGCTCAAAAGGAAGATCATTCCCTATCTAAAGCCCAGAAAGCCCATCCAAAGATCTGACTGGACACCTTTTTGGGGAGGGGGCGGAGAGCTGGGGTGGGTACTGGCAGAGGTATGGCAAGAGGCCAAGATTCATTGCTGTGGACCCAGCTGAAAAGAGTGTGTGTGTGTGTGCAGGAGCTTTGGTTCGGAGACAGGCAGAGGAGCCAAGTGTGGAGAGCCTGGTTTCTCAGTACTTCCAGACGGTGACTGACTACGGCAAGGACCTGATGGAGAAGGTCAAGAGCCCAGAGCTTCAGGCCCAGGCCAAGTAAGTCTAAGGGCAAGGAGTTCAGGGGCTGTGGAACTGTGGAAAGGAAGAAGGGAAGATGAGAGGCCCCACAGAAGACTGAACCCAGGGGTGGGGATTAGGGCAGATTAGGCTTAAATTGGAGAGAAAAAGTCCTTCGTTGCCCAAAGATCCCACACGTTTCTTAGATAGAGAGGAACAGCAAGAACTGGGCCTTGAATTTCAGTCTCTAGGGTCTGTTCCTCTACCCAGCAAAGGTCTTGGCTCTACTCCCACCTAGGGGCTTTGCCATGCGATGGACCAGGCACTAGAGTTTGGGGACCTGAGTCAGTCTGCTCTGACCTCCCACCATGACCGAGGCCCCTGCCAGTGCCTAGGGTCCCTCAAATTAAACTCTAATCCCCTCACCTATCCAGGGCTTACTTTGAAAAGTCAAAGGAGCAGCTGACACCTCTGGTCAAGAAGGCTGGAACGGATTTGGTTAACTTCTTGAGCTATTTCGTGGAACTTAGAACACAACCTGCCACCCAGTGAGGTGTCCAGACCATTGTCTTCCAACCCCAGCTGGCCTCTAGAACACCCACTGGCCAGGCCTGGAGCTCCTCTCCCTACCCACTCTTTGCTACAATAAATGCTGAATGAATCCAGCTCTGAGCCTGGTATGTTTGGGGGACTGGGAAAAGTAGGGGAGTAGGAGAGGAGAAGAGGAAGGAAAAGGAAAACTCTGCTTCTAGAAGGAGAGAATTTTGGGTGTGGAGGGGTGAAGAAAAGATTGAAGACACAACTGATGAAAATGACAGGGGGAGGGTGCCATGATTCTTCTCCAAACCCAAAGAGTCTCCTACGGGCTGGGCATGACTCTGCAAGAGAACACTAAAGAGGCTTTGCGTTGCACATGGAACTAGGAGAGGAAGGAAGAATTCACAAACTGAATCCCTCGATTTCTGGATGTCATAGAAAATGAGGGTACCCTGGTGGGGTGCAGTGGCTCACGCCTGTAATCTCTGCACTTTGGTAGGCCGAGGCAGGTGGATCACTTGAGATCAGGAGTTCCAGACGAGCCTGGCCAACATGGTAAAACCCCGTCTCTACTGAAAATACAAAAATTAGCCAGGTGTGGTAGCACGTGCCTGTAATCCCAGCTACTTGGGAGGCTGAGGCAGGAGAATCACTTGAACCCAGGAGGCAGAGGTTGCAGTGAGCTCAGATCATGCCACTGCACTCCAGCCTGGGTGACAGAGTGAGACTCCGTCTCAAAAAAAAAAAAAAAAAAAAAGAAGAAGAAGAAAAGAAAAAAAGAAAACGAGGGTACCCCTCAGAATTTCCTCTTAGTCATTCTATGAAGAAAAGAAAGCTTCCCGAGGTATCAACCAAGACCCTCGTTTCCCTTCTGAGCCAGGACAACACTGTGTTTCCCCCTTTCCCACAATAAAAGACTCAAGTTTGCTCCTCTCCCTGGAAGTGCTCTAATTTCTCCATTTAAAACCTCTTGTCTAGGCCAGGTACCGAGGCTCACACCTGTAATCCCAGCACTTTGGAAGGCTGAGGTGGGAGAATCACTTGAGGCCAGGAGTTAGAGACCAGATTGAGAAACACAGTGAGACCCCCTAATATATTTTTTTTAATTAAAAACAAAAGCCCAGCTGGGTGCAGTGGCTCACACCTGTAATCCCAGCACTATGGGAGGCCGAGGTGGGCAGATCACCTGAGGTCAGGAGTTCGAGATCAGCCTGGGTAACATGGGGAAACCCCGTCTCTACCAAAAATACAAAAATTACCCGGGAGTGTTGGCACATGCCTATAATCCCGGTTACTCAAGAGGCTGAGGCAGGAGAATCGCTTGAACCTGGGAGGTGGAGGTTGCAGTGAGTCGAGATCGTGTCATTGCACTCCAGCCTGGGCACCAAGAGTGAATCTCTGTCCCAACAAACAAACAAACAAACAAACAAAAAACAAAACAAAACAAAAACCAAAAAACCTCTTATCTAGACACTGCCTGTGGAAGACCCATTCCAAGCCT